CTGCCGCAACTCGTCGGTTCGCGTAAAGGAGGCACGGCAGTGTCGCTCTGCGCAGCTTAGCGCCGAGACACTACCAGTGTATCCAGATAAATAGATATAAAGTTATATATAAAAAATATTTTTCGATCTTCCATAACATGTATAAGTGTCCGTACTGTGATAAAAATACTTTTCAAATTAAATGTCTTATAGCGCATTTAAAACTGGTGCATACTGCATCACATTCTACTTCTACGTGTAAACAGGAAAATTGTGTTCGAAGTTTTATTAATTTGCATTCATTTAAGCGACATTTGATGTTAAAACATTCCGATAAAAATGATAAAAACGTTTCTATTGCACTTGAAAGGCATTTACTTAATGACAACATTTCGGAAATTGTAGAAGCAAATGATCAATTCATAAAGTACATTAATTCCGAAGATTTATTAACAATAGAAACTTGCGAACAATTAATGAATAGTCCGTCAATAACTTTAAAGCAATTCGATAATATAGTAACAAGAAAGACTGTTTTATTTGTATCTAAATTATATTCTAATATTACATTATCACGATCTTTAGCAAATGAAATAATACAATATGTGAGTAATTTTTACAAGTTATTTATTGAAATTATTAAACTAAAGTATCAAGGTCAAGAAAATAAAGAAAATGTAGCATTTGGTATAAAAGAGATGTGCGTAATTTTACAAAATATTTTTGATCAGTTCAAAACTGAACACCAAACATTACAATATTTTATAAAGCACAATTATCTTATAATGCCTCGATCTGTGCATATTGGTATAACATTACATCCAAAACGCATACAAGCATGGGTTTAATTAATCAAATGTTACAAATCATTCCTTTAAAACCTTTATTAACAAAATTTTTACAGTTACCACATCCCGAGTAGAAATTGAACTTCATTTCTAGCTAACGGTTAGCTAGAAAAGTTGTGTCTTAGATAACTGCTGTCTGGTATTTCTGGCTAGTTACTAGCTAGATATGTAACGCTCACTTCTCCTAGGAGCTGTACAAAAAAAATTAGCCAGTAGCTAGATAAAACGTTTAGATAACTGCTGTCTAGTATTTCTGGCTAGTTACTAGCTAGATATGTAACGCTCATTTCTCCTAGGAGTTGCACAAAAAAAATTAGCTAGACAAAATATTTCTCCCAGTAGCTGTACAAGAAAAATTAGCTAATACCTAGATATAAAATGTTACACAGGTACGACGTGGAAAATCATAGCTAGCTACTGTAACGTGCTCGTATGTGTACGTAATAATAATGCTTTATTCAGTATTCTAACATAGGTTACAAGAACATAGAATAGAAAGGTAAGTCTATATTGGAAAGACCGAACGCCATCTAGAGAGACTCCTGGCGCCATCGTTACATCCCCCTTTCTGGAAGTTATAAATTCAATCGATCTGGAGCCTTGATAGCTCGTCCATAGCGAGTGGTCCGATGGGTATCCAAGCATGCTCCTGAATATGGAGGGATGTCTGCTATCGGTTGTGAGGTAGCTGGTACATCTGGGATGACTTCTGGCGGCGGTGGTGGTGGTCCAATTTCTTGATTAGGTTCCGATGGTAATGTGGACGCTGTTGGGCGCACATGTTGTGTGTTGCGTCGTACGACAGTACCCGAATGCAACTGTACGTCATATGATCGTGGTTCGGATCGTTTTGTTATCACTTGACCCGGGATCCAATTACGATTTCCCTGGTAGACTCTTACTGTGTCGCCTGGTTCTAGGGATCGATGACGTTGTGGGTCTGCGTGTTTCTTCTGGACCATTCTTTATCGTTCCAATTCTTTTTGTACATTTTCCTGTATTTTGGGTCTTAATATTGTTTCAGTAGTCGGCATAGGTGTGCGCGTTTGCCGGCTAAACAGACGTTGAGCTGGTGAACCCAAGACACTGTTTCGGGGTACATTGCGTATGTTTAACAACGCCTCGTAAATGTCACTCTTGTCAATTGTACACTTACGGAATAAATGCTTGACAGCTTGTACTGCTCTTTCTGCAAGACCATTTGATCGGGGAAATCTTGGACTCGATGTACGATGTTTGATATTCCAACCCTTCGTGAAATTCTTGAATTCTGCCGATGCGAATTGCGGTCCGTTATCTGTCTCTAGAACACGTGGTACACCATGTACTGAAAACCAGCGTTTAAATGCTGTCACCGTCTGACCAGTATCCACTGGCTGTATCAAAGCGGCGTCATAGAAACCTGAATAGCTGTCTACTATGACAAGGTATTGCTTACCCTTTATGCTGGCAAAGTCAGCTGCTACAATTTCCCAGGGTAGCTTTGGTACCTCTTTTAAAATTAGAGGATCCTTGTCTGGAAGTCGTTGCGTTTTCTGACAGACTGTGCATTTGTTTACATAGTCCTCTATATCCTCGCTCATTTTCGTCCAGAACATGACTTCTCTTGCTCGATTCACCATTGATTGTATTCCTAAATGGCCTTTATGCGCTAGCTGTAAATATTTTGGACGTAATGCTGCAGGAATCATTGGTCTAGAGTTCTTGAATACAATGTCGTCTATTACTGTAATTTCGTCTCGATAATTCCAAAATTGTCTTATTGGATAGTCCAGTTCCTTTATATTGTCTGGCCATCCTATCTTCAGTGTTCTTTTAAGAGCTGCCATCAAAGGATCTGCGTTGGTTTCTTGTTTTAGTTGCTCAATGGCCGTTTGCGAATACGGGATAACGACACATATTTCTACTTCTGGTTCTGTCTCTCTCTCTCTCTCCCTTTAGTTTGACACAATCTCTACTTAATGTGTCCGCAATAGGTACCTCTTTACCTGGTACGTATTGAATCATCGGGGCATATTGTAAAATATCGAAGAAAATTCTTTGTAGTCGTGGTGGCTGATTTGCTAAAACCTTTTTACTTATTGATTCCAACGGCTTATGATCGGTAAGTATCGTCAGAGTTTTACCGTAAATAAAATCATGAAATTTAAAACACCCAAACCTGATTGCGAAAGCCTCCTTTTCCAATTGTGGATATCGCTGTTGTGCTTCTGTTAGAGCTTTTGTTGCATATGCGACTGGCTGGTTGTTTTGTAATAACACTGCGCCTACTGCTGTTGAACTGGCATCTACCATTAACGTGACTGGTACCTTTGGATTATAATATGCAAGTACTGGAGGGGTTTTTAGTGTTTCTTTAATCTTATTAAGAGCTTCGTCTTGCTCTACATCCCAATGCCATGCTGTCTCTTTTGTTAGCAACTGTCTCAGTGGCTCAGTTATTTCCGATAACTTTGGTATAAATTTAGATAGGTAAGTGATGGTGCCTAATATCCTGCGCACTCCTTGAACATCTCTTGGTGTCTTCAGCATGTCAATCGCTTTGAGTTTCTCTGGATCCGGTTTCAAACCTTCATCGGTCATTATGTGGCCTAAAAATGGCACTGATGGTTTTTCAAAAAGACATTTCTCTTTATTTAAACGAACTCCGGCTTCGTATAATTTCCGAAGTACGTTATCCGTTACTTCTAGTAGTTGTTCTCTCGTCGAAGCGAAGATTAGGATGTCATCCATAGATACTTCTACATTGCTAATGCCTTGTAGTATTTTTGTCATCACTTCTTGAAAAATCTCGGGTGCCGATTTGATGCCAAAAGGAATTCGAAGAAATCTATATCTCCCCCACGGGGTATTTACTGTCAAATATCTCGAAGTTCTATCCGAAACTTTTATTTGCCAGAAACCTCTAGCACAATCGAGCTTCGTAAAGTATTTTGCGCCCGCTAAGTTAGCGGTAATATCCTCTAATGTCTTGAGCGGAAAATATCGTCTCTTGATAATTTTATTCAGGTCTGATGGGTCTATGCACGGGCGTATTTTCCCTTTGCTCTTGACTATTACTAATGGGCTCACTGCTGGAGTTCCGAAATCGGCTTAATAACGTCCATTTGTACCATTTTGTCCAGTTGTCTCTTGACTTCATCCTTCAAAGAGAATGGTATCCTTCTGGATGGATGTATCCTTAGATGCTCTCCTTCCTCTAGTTCGATATTGTATTCATAATCCTTGATGCACCCTAAACCGGTGAAAAGTTCATTTTTTATTTCTGCAGTTGTTTTCTGTGATGTGCTTTTGTATCGTATGGACTCGTTTAATGAAATTAAAGCTAGTACACGCTTTCCGTCCTAATATTATCTGTACATCTTCTTTAACTACTTTAAAATTAATAATAGCTAACTTGTGTCGAATGTAAAACTTAATATCTGTTTCACCTATGACCTCCATTTTTGACTTATTATATGTAACGAGACTCTTTGTCGTTGATGACATCAAAGTGGCACTTAATGGTTTAAGTTGCTTTTGCGACATCACATTACACTCTGCTCCTGTGTCCAATTTTACTTTCACTTCTTGACCTTTTATTGTTTTAACATTTTATGCCATTTACTCTCATTATCCTCTTTTTTCTTTTATCAGAAATTTGAAAAGTATTTACATATAGTATCTCGCTGTCTTCTTCGCTTTCCACCTTTGGTTGTATATAACTAGTCATCTGTACTTCGTTAACTTTCTTTCTTTCCTTCCTTCGTTCGGCACATATTTGCGAAGTGCCCTACCTTTGTGCATTTGAGACAGGTTTTATTCATTGCTGGACAGCTGTTCTTCCCATGTAGTCGTCCACAGCGTATGCATTTCTTCTGTTTTCCATGCTGTTGATTTTTTTCTCTGTGTACCTTTATTGCATTTACAGCCTCATTTTCTTGCTTTGACATTGCTGATGCTTGTTCCACTTGCTTTGTTGCTCGTTCCCATGCTTTGCATATACCAACGGTACGTTCTAATGTGAGGTTGTCCTCTTCTAACAGTCGTTGTTGTAATGTTTTACTCTGTACGCCGAAAATGATTTTGTCTCGCAACAATTCATCTGCCAATTGATTATAACCACAATCCTTAATTTGTGTGCGAGCTTTTGTTAAGAAGGAATCAAATGTCTCACCTTCTGTTTGACGTAAATTATTAAACTGCAAACGTACATACGGTTGTGACGGTGTCGGTGCAAAATGAGCTGCAAACCTCGCTTTTATCGTCGTCGTCTTTGTGGCTTCTTCCTCTGTTAGATTAAAACTGTTGTATATAATAGCTGCGTCCGCTCCCATAGCAGTCATTAGTGACGCCGCTTGAACACTTTCATGTTTCTTCTGCATGTTTCTTTGAACGGCTATAGCATACCACTCGTATCGTTGAATCCATAACTTCCACGCTTCAGGCATGCCGTCCATTTTCACAATTAATGGTTCGGGCGGTTTGATGGCATTATTCGATTCCATTCTGGCACTTTCCCGATTATTATCTTATTTTCTTTTCTTCTGACACCATGTAACGTGCTCGTATGTGTATTAATAATAATGCTTTATTCAGTATTCTAACATAGGTTACAAGAACATAGAATAGAAAGGTAAGTCTATATTGGAAAGACCGAACGCCATCTAGAGAGACTCCTGGCGCCATCGTTACAGCTACTAGCTAGTCATGTAACGCTCACTTCTCCCAGTAGCTGTACAAGTAAAGTTAGCTAATACCTAGATATAAAATGTTACACAGTCATGACGTAGAAAATATATATATCATAGCTAGGTACTAGATAGTAATGTTCTCCTAGCAGTTGTATAAGAAAAATGATCTAGTAGCTGTCTATCCTACACTAGACAGCAAATAGGAAACACTAAATAGGAAAAAAAAACATTTTTTCGATTAGATTTTTTTATAGCATATTTTCTACCTAATTTCTAGAGATAATTTTCATTAATTATATTTCCTCTCCATCTTTTGTTGTGTCCTCTTCAAGTGCTGACCGGGCCACTAATATCTAGGAAAAAACTTTTAACATACGAGGGGATTTGAACTCGTGACTCCATCCACAGTCCAGGCTTCTGAGTCGCTCACCTAACGTACTGCTCCACTGCTACCTTGTCGATAGAGATGTTTCGAATTGTCTATATAAATTATTGAGCACAAATATGATTTAATATTTAGTACCTAGATAGTACCGACTAGATAAGTTTTCTAACTTGTCACTGGTTAGTCATTAGCTGTATATTCCGTAATATCAATAAATCTGTCTAGGGACTGCCTAGTAATTACGATGTTACACCTACACCTTATTTACTAGACAGTCGCTAGACAGATTTCTCAACATGAAAAAATCTGTCTAGGAACTGCCTAGTAATTACGATATTACACCTACATCTTATTTACTAGGCAGCCACTAGACAGATTTTTTATGTCAAGAAATCTGTCTAGTGGCTGCCCAGTAAATGGGATGTAGATGTAACATCGTAATTACTAGCCAGTTTCTAGACAGATTTTTTTATGTCAAGAAATCTATCTAGTGACTGCCCAGTAAATAGGATGTAGGTGTAATATCGTAATTACTAGGCAGTCACTAGACAGATTTATTGATATTATGAAATATTAGCTAATGACTATCCAGTGACGAGTTAGAAATCTTATCTATTATAGTTAATGCTGTCTAGTGTCTAGATGGTAAATCAGATTGGCTAGGTCCATTTCTGCTCGGATACCATTTTGCAATTTTTACGATAATTAACGAAATATTAATTACTAAAAATCACCGAATATTAATAAATTGGTTTTTAATCATTTCTTACTCAAGTACTATCAACTTTACAAAAAAACAGCAAGAGACAAAAATAGTTTATTTTCTTCTCATAGAGCTCTAAGAATTTTTTCAGAATTTTTTGTCAACTTTTTATTACGGCATTTTCTTATTGGCAATTATTTTTACCAACATGAGAAAATGAGGTACTAAAAAATTCTGAAAAAATTCTCAGAACTCTAGTAGAAGAAAATAAACAATTTTTGTTATTTGCTATTTTTTTTATTAAGTTGAGAGTACTTGAGTAAAAAATTATTGAAAACCAATATTCGGCGACTTTTAGTAATTAATATCTTGTTAATTATTGCAAAAATTCTAAAATGGTTGAGGACTTTTCGACTCAGTTTAGTCCGCTCTACCTCTATGCGAAAGTTTTATCGTTACTTATCAAATCGTTATTTTATTTATCGTTATACTTATCCGTGAACGCTTGCCGTTATTGGATGATCTGTACAAAAATACACCAATAGCAGTGAGCGCTCACGGATCCGCAACAGTTGAATCTATGGTGGAAGGATAGCATAATTAGGCTTGCGCATTGTGTGAAAGTTCGATATAAGAGCGACAGAGCGACGATTATATAGAGCGACAGAGAGGACTAATGAAGCGCATGAATAGGGGAAGTTATTCGTCGCCACTTTCTGCCTCATCCCCTCTACCGCTATTGGCACCGAGTTGACTCTCCTGGTCTCTAGTCTTCTTGGTTTTTATCGACATTCATAGACAGAGAGGTCAGAGATTCAGAAAGAGATGCTTGTAAACTGTACACACCAGGGCTCCGTTCTGTTTCACGCATGATGCGCATGCTGCATTACTTATCCTTGTTATTCACCGAATGTTAAACAAGGATAAATGATGTATCACGCGCATCGTGCGTGAAACGGCACGTAGTCCGCCATATTATATCCCTTCCACCGTGGTTGAATCTGCTCTCTGCTGAACGCGACCGTTCATACATAAGTCGATCGAAAATTTGGCGAGACCGAGGTACTTTCATCGTATATATATCGCGAGATCCATGATTCCTGCGTTCTTTGGATGACCGATCAAAATAAAATTCGAGCAGTTTTGGGATCGTGCGACCGAGAATTGCCGAAAATTTACGAATCGTGTCATTCCGCCATTCGTTCACCGTTCAGTGACTTCGGTTTCGCACGTTTCAAGAGTTCATTAAATATCGTCAAAGGTGGTGTATGCAAGTGATTTATGAAGTGACGGCGTTCATCCGTTTCAAGTGCTCATACAGGCATTGCTACAGGAGTGGCCCACAACTTACGGTAAGGATAAACGATACATGTATCGATATGCTAAATAATCATTTGTTAACTAACTTAACCTATTTTGCCGAACATCAATTCTTGCAATTAAAGAGTTATTTAAACCAATGTCCTTGTACACGATCGCTTTTTTTTTTAACAAGAAAGGATATTTCGAATCGATGCAATCGATTTTCAGCGTATTGATACGGATATCTCCCATCCCTAGCTCAGCGCCTTAAGGAGCCTACAGACCAGATGCGGCGAGCGGCGAGCGGTACCATGCTTTTGCATGACATCATTAGTAATGCATGGCTCACCGCTGCGCCGCTCTGGTCTGTAGGCTCCTTTAGGCCGTTGTTACACGAGTATTAATTAATAAATATTGACCAGTATTTTGATTCTGTAACTTTTAAGCCTATTCTACAATATGTTTTTTGTTTCCTGTTTCTTGCTTTTTGCTATTTTTTATGGCTGTTTTACAATGTGCTTTTTGTTCCCTGTTTCTTGAGGTTTGTCTCTTGCCTTTTTCGTCAAGAAGGCAAGAGACAAGCAGCAAGAAACAGGAAACAAAGAGCACATTGTAGAATAGGTTTAAAAGTTAACAAACTTAGAAGAAACACAAAACACGTAACAAGAAATACAATTATTGATAAAACGGTGACAAAAAGGGAAAAAGCTAAAGGTAAAAAGCAAGAAACAAGAAACAAAGACCACATTGTAGAATAGGCTTTAATGATAGTTCGATATCGTTGTATTATCATTGCGCAGCTTTCTCACCATAAATAATAGTAACTACACTTTGCTAGATTTCCGCGTTTCCGCGGGTTTTGTTCCGTTTGTTTTGGTTTTCTAATATTATATGGAACACAATTTGAGCGGAATATTTAGAATTATTTAAAACATATTTAGAATTATCCTTATTTTATTATTACAGATTTCTTTAAAGTGTGCTGTTTTTGTAATTTCAACTTTGCTTTCTAACATGTCTGCATGCAAAAAGAAATTATTTAATATTATACATTTCAAGCAATAATAATAAAACAAAATCTATTGATTGTGTGCCATCTTCATGGATATTCAGTAATACCGAAACACAGCAATTAATGACAAAATTTATGCCACCTCCGTATACAAAAAAAAGATGCAACGCATTACATAAATTAATACAAGCTAGGAAGTGACCGATGTGAACCTGGCGCCCAACTTTATCAAAAATAAAAATTAATACCATAGGACGTTTGTACTTCGTTTGTACCCGTTTGTACCTCCCTTATTTTCGTTTGTACCCCAAACAGTTAAACAAAAAATGAAATATAAAAAATGACCAGCGCCCAACTTTAATATTTTTTAATTTCATTTATGCCATTCGAAAGAGAATCGTTTGTACCCGTTTGTACCTCCCTTACTTTCGTTTGTACCTCAAAGGGCTCGGAGATACAGCGTTTTCAAAATTTCGGAAATACGCCAAGAGGGGAAGTCGGCCAATTTTCAAGATATCGAAATGGGACCAACGGCATTCCAAAGAAAATCGTTTGTACCCGTTTGTACCTAACTTACTTTCGTTTGTACCTTAAAGGGTTCGGAGATACAGCGCTTTTCAATTTTTGCGCAACCCCTATATAGCGAAAATCGCCAATTTTTAAGATATCGAAATGGGACCAACAGCATTCGAAAGAGAATCGGTTGTACCCGTTTGTACCTCCCTTACTTTCGTTTGTACCTCAAAGGGTTCGGAGATACAGCGTTTTCAAAATTTCAAAAATACGCCAAGAGGGAAGTCGGCCAATTTTCAAGATATCGAAATGGGACCAACGGCATTCCAAAGAGAATCGTTTGTACCCGTTTGTACCTCCCTTACTTTCGTTTGTACCTCAAAGGGTTCGGAGATATATAGGGGTTGCGCAAAAATTGAAAAGCGCTGTATCTCCGAACCCTTGGAGGTACAAACGAAAGTAAGGGAGGTACAAACGGGTACAAACGAAGTACAAACGCCCTATGGTATTAATTTCTATTTTCGATAAAGTTGCGCCAGGTTTACATCGGTGGCTCCGCCACCACAACAGCAGCACCCGCAGCAACAAGTACGTTGTAAAAAAACGTATATGTGTATTTTACTCAAGTTTTTTATATCTAAGATAAATGTTAGAAAACAATATAAAAGAATAAAAACAGACAAAAAGTAATACTGACATAATTTGTAAAAAAACATTTATAACATATTAAATTATCACATTTTATTCATTTATCAGTCTACCTTTGAGAACATACTATTTTTATGTCATATTTCTTTACTTGTTTATAAATTGTATTACTTTAACATTAGGGAATATTGAACATCAATTTAACACAAAATATTTAAATAACATAATCAGTTTAACTATGAACATCAATT